CTGCCTGCCTGCCTGCCTGTCTGTCCGTTCGTTTAACTTTTGGCTTAGTTTTTTTTTTTTTATTTTGGTGACATAAATAGCGGCACTTGGCCAACAACTCGTGTCGTGTCGCGTCGCGGCTGCGGATCTGTCGGTATTTGCCCCGTTGATTAACAACTTGGCCAACGCTGCGTCCTCGGGTGACTTTGATGCGAGTGCCCATTTGCAACATTTGGCATTTGGGCCTCCGCGTTTTTGGTCAACTGCTAGGCCTGGCTGCTTGTTAATCAATTTAATTAATAAAATAAACACATCACAAGCAAAAAATACAAAACACAGTGAAAGTTGCGTTTGTTTGCGGTCCGTTCGATTGATTTTCATTAATCAGTTTTCTATTTCACTTGGCGCTTGTTTTTTTTTCTTCTTTGTTTGTGCCTTGGAATGCAGCGTTAAAAAAAATTAATTATCGCCAAAGTAATTTTGTTTGGCTGGAAACTGCAAAGTGTCAACTGCTTAGCTATAAATAATGATGCATATTTATGGATCAAATTAACATAAATTAGCTGTGCGATATGTAATCTAGTCGAACTGGTGCAGCCAGTTCGTGTCTTAAGTCTTTCGTTTGTATGCTTAGCATACAAAAATAGAAGCACGTTTTGGGAGCTATTTCTTACACTTGCTTAAGTTATTTACATTATGTTAACCAATATGTAACACCGTGAAGGTGAATTTGTTTGGCGTTCAAGTCTGAGTTACGCACAAATTATCGCCATTTTATATAAGCGCATGCGAGTCTTAGGAACTTAAAATTTGGACACATTGCACTGGAAACTTATAGCTACCCTATATTTTATAGTTACCGCCATCCCTCCCTCCCCCAACCACACCAACACGAACTGCATTTGGTGTTGGTAACAGAAAAGTTCAGGGTATTTCCGAGTCGGGCACTCCCGACTAGATCACTCTCACTGCTTTTGTGCCTGCTAGAGTATTTCATAGTCGCCTGCGCAAGTTTGACTGCTTATTCTGGCTATCTGTGAATTTAAATGTTGGTGTTTATTTTTGTTGGTTTCTAAAACGCATTTATGGAAAGTCACAGATACGCACACACATACACACTCAAGCACACACACATACCTAGACAGATCGGCAATCAACTTTCACAAGAATCAAGCCTAACTAGCTACACAAGTTTTATTAAGCTTTATTTACCAAAAAAAAAAAAAAAAAAAATGGTATAAAAATTATAGTCAAAGTCGAGGTCAGGGTTCAGGCAGCAGCGTTAAGCGCTTATTTGTTAGACGCTTGTCGTGTTTATTGTCTATTTAACTTGATACCAAAAACTGCAAAGACATTCGAGCTATACACACACACACACACACACAGAGAGACGTGTTTATAGACAAACATTGCCTATCAGATCATATTTCATCTCAAGATGGCAAACAATTGTAAACTGATGGCCGTTTTGCCTGAACGGTTTGTTGGCATTAGAAGGCAGTCGAGACGACAACGATTGGGTCTTGACTTGGGCCCCGCACTTCAGACTCGACTCATCGGCCTGTTGTTCTTGTTGTTGTTGTTGTTGTTGTTGTGTACCTTGTTTAGTGTAGCTTCATTTGAACTCAAGTTCAGTTTGTTATGGGCACAGTCCGCGCACAAATTGCGAATTGATGTGTGCACACGTAAATTGTATTTATAAACATTAAATCACAATTAGACACATGCCCGATGGCTGCTCACCTGTTGCCAAGCAGCACTTGAGAAATCCTTTTCTTTTTTTTTTTTGTAATTCACAAATGACTTTTGCTTATTTTACGTGGTTTTTACATTTTACACACTTGATTTAAATAAAAAAAAAAAACAGAAATAATTAACGGCAAAATCGGGCGGCTTTTGTTTGGCTCTGGCAAATGATTTGCATTTGCGACTTTCGCTGAAAACAGTTTTGGGTGTCATTTTCAGCGAAATTTTGCGTGACTTTAAAAAAAAAAAAGAGTTGTGAAGCCCTCATAAATGCTGCCGTGCATTGATTTATAATTTGACTAAGATCGTTGGCTATGCTAAAGGTCGCTTGCCGCAGCCGCTGTTGAACACGCGCCCAACTGATTGATTGTTGGCCAATTGCATCATTTTTTTGATGAGCGATTACGATTATGGCAATTTACACGAGACGCTTACAAATTGTGTGCAGCTGCTGCTGTTGCTGCTGCTTCGATGGCATTGAAAACAATTATTAATTCGAGCCAAAAACTAAATGCCAAAAACCAATAAGTGTGTGCCAATCAAGCGTTGTGCGGCTATTAAATACCCTGCATGCCACTTAATGGCCAACATGTTTGAAAATAACTTAGCGTATGATTTTGAAGGCTGCGGCTAAATAATTAGCCGAGGGGGGGGGGGGGGGGGGAAGGGGGTAAATCAATGTGGATCGACTGCCAATTGCAGCAAAAATTTGACACCAGCCCGTTAAATATGTGTTATTCGAGAGGCCATATACAAAGATTTGATAGGCTCAGCTTACGCAGCGTGCAAAGAGGCAGACACAGAGGCTTATTGATTAGCAGACGGGTTGAGAGGGGGCTGGGGATACATTATAAATTGACAGCAAACTGTTAAACGCAAAGATATCAAAATCTACATAAATAATTTGCCAGCTCTAACTAATATCGAGAGCAAGTTACAGGCAAGTCAAAGGCTCAGATTACGCAGGCACAGAGGCTTATGGCTTAACAGAATGATTAAGAGGGGGGTTAGCTGGGTTAAAGGGTAATTTATAATTTTACAGCCAGCTGTTAAACGCATAGATCTGAGGTCTACATGGCTGATTTGCCAGCTCTAATTTATATAGAGGGCAAGTTACAAGTGTTAAAAGAAACTGAAAGCCCGAGCGGAAATGAATATGCTTTAGAGAGTGGTCTGTGGCCCGTGACGCGTCTTACACACATGTGCAGCGCATTATTTTAACCTTTCAGCACATGTGTGCACGCTCTGCAGTGCTTGACCTCGCGCCATAACGAAAGACTTAGGCAACGAACTTTCAAATACAAACATAAACGCAAATAAGGATAGACTAAGACAACAATTGGCATGTGATGTGCTAATTGAAATTTCATTTATTAGCAACTATTATTTGTAGACATGCTGCGCACTTGGCACTGTGATTAAAGCCAAAGCAACAACTGCACAAATATGCGAATTCATTATTCAGCTGTGAAATATGCTCAGTTGGTTAAATGGAATGTTACAGCTAAATGCTGGCAGCTGTTGTTGTTGTTGTATATTTTATATGAAAAATACAGCTAAAAGAGTCAAGATGCGCATCAAGGTTTTATTTGTCAGCAAACGAATCTCCAATTGAGCAGCGTCTGTTCTCTCGCTCTCTCTCTCTCTCTGTCTTTTTCTCTAGCTCTCTCTGTCTGTATTTCTAACCAGTTTGCTTAACCGAAACGTATTCGGCGCCCGCACATTAGACAAATCCGGCGACTGGTTTCGGCTCCCCGCATTCTCACTTTTAGCTGTTTGTTTCGTATTTATTCTGGGCTTAAAAAAAATTTTATTGGCATTTCGTTTATTGAAATTCTCTGTGGCATATCGTTCTAAGTATGTTCATAAAATTTAATATCCATAAGCTTCTATTCATAACTGCGTGGACAGCAGCGACTCACTGACGAATACTTCTAACGCTCACTGTATGTATAAGTGTGTGTGTGTCTGTTGTGTGTGTGGGTTCTGCTGTTCGGTTGTTAGATGCATGCAGATGCCATCCGGTTTGGTTAGCTCTGGCCTTTTTTTGCAGCTGGGGGCTAAGGCACTGGCGTACTGCCCGCCAATGCGGTCCGGCTGCATTCCAGGCATGACTAACAGACACCGAAGAGTTATTACCCTCAAGGTCATTTGTGTTTTTTTTTTTTTTTTTTTGTTTCTTTGCTCTCAAGTGTTGGGCTATGACTTGCGCTTTATTCGATATCGGAAAATCGAAATTCGTTAGCTTATTTGTAAGCTGAGTGCGACGTATTTCTAGAAACCGCTCCGACTCAGATTCGATTCTAAGAGCCTGTCAGAGCAGAGTTTGAATACAGTTTGAATGCTTTTGGCGGTTTTGCCAAGTGGCTCTTATCAAAGGCCGTAAAAGTGCGGCTCGGTTAACAAAACCGACAATTAATTACGCGTAGATTCTGTTGGACAAGTCAAGACAGGCTAAACAACTCACAAAGCGCTCAAAAGAGACATTAACATCAAAACAATCCGCATTTGTATTTAATGAAAGTATTTAAATATCGTCTCTGACTCAGTATACAAAACTTTGGAGCTGCGGACTCAGCGTTTCCTTTGTGATTAATGGACTTACAAGCCAAACACACAAGAATTCGGTATTTTTTCTGCCTTGTTTTGTTTTGTTTTATTTTGGCCATTCTTTTGTGTGCTGTGTGTGCTCGTCGTCTTGCGGTCTTTGATTTTAGAAATGATCTCATCTGCGACAGCATCCACAGCCCACATTGGATGAGCATTCGATACGGCAATTGTGAAGGCTGAATAATTACTAAAAGCAGCTGTCAACCAATATGCAATAATCAAATCGTATGGCAAAAACATAATTGAAAAAATATCGATGAGGTATGAAGAAAAGGTGTGTCATCATCATATTACAGTGATTGCTTGGAAATTTGAGCTTCTATAGATTAGAATCCAAATGTTCCATGCACAAGACGAACATATTAATTTATCCCCAAGTTAAAATCAAGCCTGTGAATTCATATTTCTAATAGTGAGGCAAGCAAATGCAAATTTCATTTACAATTCCCAAAAGGTTTAAGCTAAGGACGTTTTGTCTGACTTAAGAGTTTGACGAACCGGAAGACACCTGTCCCATGTATTTATAGTTCACAACTTTCAGAACAACATATCGTTGGGTATTTAAAAAGAAACGAAACGAAATATAAATAAATTTATGCCCGTGTTCCTGCCAACAATACAAAGAAGAACAATAACTGGCAAATGTGAATTCCTTTGATGCTCACCTTCGAAACGGCAACAGCTGCAAAAATTATGCGATGTAGGCGGCGATAAGTTACGAAAAAAACAACAAAAACACAACAAAAACGCCAAGCGCAATGTTCCAAAGGGTGAGCTGCAGCTCCTGCTAGGTAGTCGGAGAGGGTGACGGTGCGGGTGACGGGGCACTTGAAGACGAGTCTTGGAATCGCAGAAAAAAGCTAATCAAAAGTTACGAAACGCACGCGCTTGACAGCGGGGGCAGGTAGCCGAGCAACGAGGGGCGGGGTAAGCACACGATCAAAGTCAAAACAATGCAGTCGCGCGGCACTTTGAACGTAGAGTTGTATTACGATCTAAGGTACTGAAGCAACGGTAAGACGGTGGTATTGCACACTCCGCGCACCCCTAACACAACTATCGATGATCGTAGCACCCACACTCACACACACGCGCTTTGGTTGTTTGTGTGCGATGTGTTAATCAATAAAAATCGAATGCGCATCGAATGTACATTTCGCTTTGCTGCATTTTTTTTTGCTAATTAAATACTTTTCGCTTGATTTATTGCAATGGCGCGTTCTATACGGGCCCCACAGTGAGCACACGATCAACTACAGTACGTGCCTTGCACAATTCGGCGGCAAACACACAAACACAATCACAATAGCTCTGGCGCAGCACACGTCTGTTTGGTAGCACGTCGAAAAACTAACTGGCAGCGCCAGCTTAAGCCGGACTTACAGGCAAACGTTGTTGAGAGCGCGTGAGTAATAGAGCAGGCAAAGCTTCAATGTTGCCATACAGCAGCTGCTTGCTATGCAACGGACGATCACTTTTTAACTAAGTGGCAATAAAGTGCAGTTTTGAGTGGCAGCACTTAGATCTGCTCAAATTGGTGAACGACGAAAATCAGAAACCGCACAGCCAGAGAGAAAGAGAGCGAGAGAGAGCAACTATGTATGAGAAGTACAGTTGAATTTCCTACTCTCAGCATTGTCTACGATATTCCGAAGCGAAACATAAGAATAGAATTCGGAGTCATAGTGGAAAACAATGCCAATAAAGGCATATATTATTACACGCAATGATTTTTAGAAGCAGCTATGCGGATCAGAGGGAGTCATATAGCTCAATTTTAACTCTATCATTTGCAGTAGAGCTAAGGAAATCAATTTACAAATATCTTAAGACAAACGGCCCTAACCTCACTTTTTACCCACAAATTTTGTAAACACGATTAAAGTACATATATGTTTAAAGTAATATACATATATATATGCATAAAACCAGTCCGTGGGGATTTACAATTACTATTGACTGGAAAGCTTTGCAAGTCTACTGTAACTTTCTCAGAGTAATTATATAAGAGCTATAGAATTTTCTGTGTGGACTTTGATGTAAAATAGGTGGAGGAGGTCGGTTATAATATTTAAATATGTTAAACACGTTTGATAAAAGTTTTTTAACACAATTAATTACTTAAATGACATTTTCATTAAAATAATTTATAATTAATTTACACAGATAAAACGAGTAGACGAAAACAAACACAATTTGCAGACTGAAGACAACATTTAATTTACTCACCCCACACAATATTCTCAATCCAATCTGTGTAGAGGTGAACCTTAGTGTAAATACTGGGCAGACCTCTTGTGCCGCAGATGCGACCAAACGAGGTGATGCCAAGGAGCAGCTTGAGGCAACTGTAATGCGGATGCTGCACGAAAATGGGCCCGCCCGAGTCGCCGTTGCAGGTGTCGCCATTGCTGTCGACGGAGCCCGCACAGAACTGGGTGCGCCTTTGTATGTCCAGGTCGAGTCGTTCCTCGCACAGATCATCGCCGAAACGCTCGAGGGTTACCTTGAGCAGATGCGAGGATTTCTTGCCCGCATCTTCGGTTAATCCCCAGCCGGCGGCTGTTAGCTGCAGATTCTCGTTGCCGGTGCTGGGCGGCAGACAGGCGGGTGCCACATACTCGTTCAAAGTCGCATTTGCATCCAGCTCAATGACGGCAATGTCGTTGGTTAGGTTGCCCTCATCATCATCACTGTAGAAGGGATGCACCACGTAATTGACGACCTTAAAGTCCTGCGGCTGCGCATCATCTTCGGTGCTATTGTAATCTAATTCGCCCAGCCGCACCACATACTTGGGCGAGTCGAAGTTGGGATCCAGACGCTGCTCCTTTGTTTCAATCGTCACCAGACAATGGGCGGCCGTAATTACGTATTTGGGATGTATCAATGTGCCGCCGCAGTCCCATTTAATGTTCTTCTCGCCCTTCTCGATGGTGCCAATGAGCGCCATGAAGGGAAATTCACGAGCTTCTGCCTTGGTGCCGCCCACAATGAAGGGCGAGTTATGGCAAGAAGCTCTGATATCATTAAAGTGCTTGCATTCTGGTAAAGATAGAGCGTGGGGTTATTTAAATTGCTAAATAAAAAGTGCTGCTGCTTACCCTTCTCAAAGGGACGAGTCACATCCACTGGCGCTTGGTTTTGCCTGTTAAGAGGCAATGGACAGCACACTATGTCCTCAAATTCATTGCAATATTTGATCTCGTTCCCAATCAGATGCTGATTATAGAATAAGACTGGACACTCCGTGGCGGACAGCTCCTTGCACTCGCCAGTGCCGCGATCACAAAGCTCACTCCAAACGATGCTCAAGCAGGCGAGAAGCGTTAAAAGTAAACTACAAAAAGCGTACATTGCGAACAAGTTCGAATGCACAACTGAACGGCGCGAGGTGAACTGCTAGCGGCCAAACCAGATCCCTAAGCTGAGCTGTGCTAATTGTGAATTCCGGACTGTTACTAAACCTATGCATACTTAAATAAATACGTAGAACCTAAGCTAAAGCTAGTTGTTGTTGTTGTTTTAGTAGTATTATTTGCTGCTGTCTAGTTGTGACGCATGCCCATGCTTTGCAAGTGTTGTTGTTGCTGTTGTTGCTGCTGTTGTTGTTGTTGTTGCTGCTGCTGCTGCATGTGTTGCAGGTACATTTGCTGTTGAGTACTGCCGCCGCTGCCCAGTGGCAAGCTGGTTGTTGTGGCTGCCACAGCCTGAGCCTGAGCTTGCTGCTGCTGCTGTGCTTGCAATGGCGAATGATTTGCATTTGCGGTTGTGTTTGCATTGCTGTCAGCTCTATTCAATTATAATAAATACATGAATATTATAAATGACACAAATTTGCTTATAAAGCTTACATCTTCTCTGTGTGTATGTCCTCCAGATTAAGATGAGTTATAAAACGCAGACGCATTTGCAGCTGCGGTCGCAGCCTTTTGATTATTGCCTCCGATTCGTTTTTGATAATATTGCCCACGTGTATGTACTTAATGTGATAGCTGCATAAAAGTAAAGTTTCTTAATACATGTATACACAATATTTGGCTCAATAAATGCTCACAGAAAGTCGCAAATTTGATCCATATACTCCAACGGTTTAGGTCCATGCTGCTTGTCTACATTTTCCAGCATCTCATAGAGGAATATGGCTATGCCCGCGACCGCATTGGGTTTCTCCTGCTCAATGCGCTGCAGAAACGGTCCAAAGACATGGCATAGATACAGCAATTGGTGCTCGGTGCGCACACAGGGCTTCAGTTTCTCTTTGATGTATCTGGTCATGGCTGCCAGCTTGAAGGCGCCCATGTGATGGAACACCGCATGCGCCACTGCCAGCACCACAGCATAGCTTTTCTCCAGCATGGCTTCTCGCACAGTCTTGAAGTTGAACAGTTCAAAGGCATTAAAACGATATGTCCAGTTGAGCATGTTGGGCGTGTTTAGCATGTCCTGCAGGCGATCGTAAATGGCACTCCAGTAGGGTTCCGGTAGGGCGGCCAGCACAATGCCCACCGCATTGATGTAGCTGTGTATTTCCTTTTGCGGCACCACAGCGTAACCATTAACAATCACATCGATTATGTTGCCCGCAACCACCGAAGGCGCCAAAGGCAGGCCAAGCAGTTCCACGCAGGTAACATATAGCGCATGGGTGGGTGCATTAGGAAACTCATTAAAACGCCAATCGGTGGTATAGAAGACATTCTTGCCGCTGATAGCTAAATGGGAGACAAAATTGGGCATTAATATATGTTTTAAGAGAACTCTGGTTATAGCTCACTGTCAGCCAATCTTCGAATGAGATTCATGTAGTAGCTCAGCTCGGGCGTCCATAAAGCGTCCTGACTTTGCAGATAAACTTTATACGGCTCACTGACGCTCCAGTTGGCGGGACGTATCTCGCTAAACGCGCTTGTGATGGTGCTAACCTGTTTGAAGTACAGCTTTAACAGTGTTTAATACGGATTAAAGCAAATGCCTTACCAGCTTCTTTTTCAGCGGCAGGCGATCACGCAAAATGCGCTCATAATAGTGCAACGTATTGTACAGATAGGTAATGGGACGATCTGAAAACAGAAAATAAGAGCTTATGAATGTGCAGCGAGAAAAGGCGGCTACACTCACCATGAAACTTATAGAGTATGCTCAAGTGATCCAATATGATGCCCAGAATTTGGTGCACATTCGGTATGGTTAGCTCAATGAAGCGATGCACGACCACATCGAGCACTGGCAGGAATCGCAGACAGACATTGCTGAAGTAGACGGGTAGCGGGATTTGCGACGCAGACTCATCCGGCGCAAATTTCTCGGGATAGTTTTGATGAAATTGCAAATGTTTCTCATGCCTGAAAGCAAAATGTAAGCAAATATAAGATTCAGTTTTGAATTTATTGAAAAGAGTTTTACTTACCAATTGCTTTGCTTCCAGTGATCAGGATTATTGTCCTTGCAGAATTCCTGCACGCGATTGCGCAGCTCGGAGGCTTTCAGCAGCAGCAACTGAATTATGATTAAACATACTTGTGCCTCGTTGCCCTCGTGCGTGCGCAGCGCCAGGCAGAGCACCAGGCGATCGATGGTAACCACATTGAACTTCCAGATCATGTTATTGATGGTATCCACACATTTGTGTATAAAGTCACGTCCATCCGAAGAGCTGGCGACCTCGGCGACCAGATAATCACAGAATTTGCGCAGATGTGTGGACAGGGCACGTGCGCTGATCCCTTCCAGAATTCTAAAAAGGAGTAAGATCTATTAAAGGACTGTTTTACAGGTGGCTGAGCTGGCAGTGCCTCACTTGTATGCCACGGGACTGATGCTCTCCGTTTCCCATATGATTTTAAAAAGCAAACACAAGAACAACGGATTTGTGTTGGGCCTGATAAAGTGGGCAATGATGTCGTTCTCATTGGACATGGATGTCCAATTGCGATACTCCTCCTCCACGGACTTTTTCAGCTGCTGTTTGTTCTCAGCCGGATGATTGTTTTGTGTGAAGTACTCGTTGAGTGCGGGCGGAAAGCATGCCAGCGACTGCATTGGCCACGAATGCGGCGTGTGTTGCATTATGTTGGACAGGAAGTCCTTGCACCAGCCGGCCAACTCATCGCCGCCGCCATGAACGTGCATTGAACGCGCCAGCGTCAAGATGAGGACACGATTTAGTTCCTCGCTCTCATTGGACGCAACGCCACCAGGCGACTTGTCATTCAAATAGCGCGAAAACTGTGACTGAAACTCAGCGGAGCCAATGCTGGTTATCAAACGCAATGCAGTGGACTCAAAGCTACGGAAAGGGCACAATTAATATGGGATTGAAGACAATATTTGAATAACAAACTTACCACAGATTCAACTGCATTTTATTGGTCGGCGGCACTGAGGAGAGTGTGTAGAGCAGTGAGAGCAGCTGGACGCGATAGTGTGTGGGCACATGGTGCAGGCGATAGGAGAACATTTCCATTAGCGTGTGCAGCATGGCCCAGGCCTGATTCTTAAAGACTGTTGGCAGCAGTTGAGCTATAAAGAGAATGTTGAATCAGCCGTTAAGTTAACATTTATCTTATTTAGCATACTCAGAAAACCCTTGATGCCCAGCGACTCAATCTCAGTGTAGACCAGCAATCTGGCATAGGTCTCAATGAGCGCCGGTGCCGGGACCAATGTCTTGCTCTGCGCCTGTTTCAGCATTTGCGTAACAAAGCTGTGTATCAGCGACATTTTGCTGTGCACCGTCAGGCTGTCCAGCACTGAAACGGAGTAGGTTACAGCTGGTATCGGAGTGCCGTTCGCTGACTTCGCATTGCCATTCATGGCATCCAGCAATACATTCATGTGTCGCGCAAAGTACTCCTGATTCGTTGAGTATGCATTGCAGATGAGTATAATGCGAAAATCATTGCCCAACGTGACGTTCATCATGCTGTTTGGCGCGACCAGGTGCTGCAGAAAGCTGCAAGAAATATTAGTTTATAAAAAGAATAGATTAAAATGCAAAATACGCACTCTTGATGGTTTTTCAGCGCAATTGGCAGCGGTCGTGTTATGTTCATATTTTCAACACGCGCCTTTTTCATTAGATGTATCCAGATGCAGATGGGCGCCATGTGACGCACCAGGGAAGACTTGTTGTAGTCGGGCAGCTTAAGTGGCTCCTGTTCTGGATACAGCAGATCGAAGAGTCTGAACACAGGCAAAAAGTTGGTGATCTACGTAAAAGTAAATTGAATTTATAAGCTACAATCAGGGGTTGCTCAAGTTGGCCTACTTACGGGATTCTTTTGTATGCTGCCTGAGATGAACTGCAGCAGTATCCACATCAGCTGATCGCGACCCTTGCGCAGCTCCAGCTTTGATAGCTTCTCATGCAAAGCCAATACAATGTGCATAAAGCTGACAAATTGAAAGAGCACAAAGTAAATCAACTGTGAGGAGAGATGCAGCCAAACCCATTCATTGGGCGAGATTTGTTCGTCGGTAGCATTGAAGCCACTGCCCGCAGTGGCATCATTCGATTCAGTCATTTCCATAGCATGTATTATCAGATTGACCAGCTGCTCCTCGAGCGCATTGTAGCGCTGCTTCTGATGCTTTTGGAGATTGAGCATGACTGAAACCATTTCGCGCGAATACGGCTGCTCCAGCACATAGCGCAACAACGGCGTCTGATCCTCTAGCAATTCCGGCTCATACGGCAGGCTGCCCTTAAAGTTGAACTTCAAGGTGTTGTGATCCAGTCGCCAGGAGTTCATCAAGTGATCGGCATAACCAAAATGTTCCACAATGGGCAGCATATTTGCATGGCCAATGATCGAAACCATTTGCGCTGTAGCCCGGAATTCCTCAACAAAATCAGTCATCAGTTTGTTAAGCTTCCAGTGATAGGGAAACGGACGCATTATTTCATTGGCTATGAAGTAGGCGGGCAGCAGGCAGTTGTTACGATCGAATATAAAGCGTATGATTTCTTCCACGGCGAGCAATTGGGGTAGATATGTGACGTTGACATTGAGTGGAAACCATTGGGCCTTGTCGCGACACGCCTTCATGATCTCACGCACGCCCTTATAGTCCACATGCGCGATAACCTTTTTGATCAGCCGGAAACTTTCGATCCAAAAAGTTTTGCGCTCATAGTCGAGTTTCTCGCAGGACAAAACCTTGTCGCACAGCATTCTATAATTGTACGCATATTAAGATTGATATATCATATGGCTGTAAGCTTACCCACCTTGCCGTAATTAGGTGTGCATCCACCAATTTGGGCAGCGCGCCCATCAGCACCTGCATGTGGTAGCTTGGTGCTTCTGCGGCCCGCAGCAAATACGAGCGCAGAACCTGTTCCCGATTTTCCACATTGCCGAATGCGGTGACTGCAAAAAGTGCGCATTAAATGTGTGTTGAAACAGAATTTATGGCTTAACTTACTCAAATTATTTGTAAAATTGCTTGCCTTGTCATCCTCGGACTTGAATAAAATGACGCTTACAAACGCTTCATCTATGGAGTCCACTTTCTGTTCAAATTAATGCGTTTAGAGGTCATACTATAATTGCTGCTTTATTTCATCTTACCAGAAAGTCGTTTACGGCATCTAAAATTTGCGTATCCATTTTATTTATTCATTTATTGTGCATTTTTTCCACGCATAAACAAATTTTCACTGCAAGCCGGCTGACGAACAACAAATGAGGTATCGAGTACAAGAAGTCGATTGCAGCCGGCGATATACGTCTGCCATTGTATGCCATATCGATATGTTTGGTATTTTATGCCCTATCGATAGCAGCGACATGCAAACTCAATATATCGCTCATACCGTTTCTCCCATTGACCATCACTATTAAGTCTATCAGGTGGTTGAATTTGTTGTTAAAAGTGAACTTCACACATTAAAGCCGTTAGAATTATGAAAAAGGTGCTTGTTACGGGCGGTACTGGTCTTGTGGGCAAAGCCTTGCAGGCCGTTATCAAAAATGAGCAGCCAAGCGACGAGGAATGGTTCTTTGCTGGCTCCAAAGATGCCGATTTGACGTTAGTGAATTTTGTTTGCACTTCACATAATTTTGGCTTGACTTTTATAAACAATGCAGAAATCTGGCAGCCACGCAGGCACTTTTTGAGAAAGTGAAACCGACGCATGTAATACATTTGGCTGCCATGGTCGGGGGACTGTTTCACAATATGAACAACAATCTGGATTTCTTGGTAAGAAGGCGCCGCCTCAGCTGTTCGCAGAGCCTTAAATTTCATCTTATCTTTTTCAGCGCAACAATTTGCTGATCAACGATCATGTGCTGCAAACGGCACATGAGCTGGGCTGCACAAAGGTTGTCTCCTGCCTGTCCACCTGCATTTTTCCGGACAAGACCACCTACCCCATCGATGAGACAATGGTGCACAACGGACCACCACACGCCTCCAACTATGGCTACTCGTATGCAAAGCGTTTGATAGACATACAGAATCACGCATATCATGACAAGTACGGACACTTGTATACATCTGTGATACCTTGCAACATATTCGGACCACACGACAATTATAAGCCCGAGGTGAGTCATGTCATACCGGGCATGATCAATCGCATGCACAAGCTGCGCACAGAGCATCCGGAAACGCCCGAAAGCGAAAAGGTTTTTACAGTCTACGGCAGTGGCAAGCCATTGCGTCAGTTCATTTACTCTCTGGACTTGGCCAAGCTGATGATATGGGTGCTGCGAAACTACGACAGCGTTGAGCCAATTGTGCTTAGCGTGGATGAATCGTCGGAGGTGACGATCTACGAAGTGGCGGAAGCCATAGCCAAGGCATTTAACTTTAAGGTGAGCCATGGGCAACCGTAGCCAATTAATTTATTTTAAATGATGATATACTTATAAAGCTATTTGTTTTTCCAGGGTAAACTCGTCTGTGATACGAGCAAAGCAGATGGACAACACAAGAAGACGGCATCGAATGCCAAGCTGCGCAGCCTATTGCCGGACTTTAAGTTTACAGACTTCCAGGAAGCCATAGAGGCATCTGTGCTCTGGTATACGACCAACTACGATCTGGCTAGAAACTAATACATATATATATATATATACATAATTGAATGTGATTAAAAGAATGAAAGGAAATATAAATGCGCGCATTTACGATATATCTAAATAATTTCTCTTTATTTAAAAATTAAATAAGAAGCTAAATTTAGATGCATAGACACTTTATACAACATGTTTAACATATTACATACATACATATTATACGATTTACGATATAGGAAAAAGCTTTAAATAACGGTAAATCTCGGTATTGGTGCTCTCATATGTGAAAAGGTGCACATCTATAAGGAGTACTTGGGGGTCAGGGGCATGGGCGGGTATCGCTTAAGCTAGGTACGCAGTAAAGTAAATGATAGAAAAAAATCAAAAATAATATTATATTTCTTGTATAATCTCAATTTCTCTCAAAGGACTTGGAGGTTTGCGGTTCATCATTGTTGTTTGATTTGAATGTGATTGAATTTTGGGTTTCGTTCGTCCGTAATTTTCGTATTGGCAATTCATCGAGTTTGTCCGTAGAACCTAGGCTTATAATTAAATATTTTACAACTTGCTGGACTTCTATACCATTAAAATTGTTCACTTTGCTTATTTGAACTAAAATAGAAATAGATTCAAGAAGAAACGCTGGCAGTTAAAAACTCAAAGAAAGGTTAAGACAAAAGACACTTGTTTTGAATAAATTAGAAATATGAAGGGGTAGATGTGGTTGGACTGGTTGGTGGTTTGCGATGGGATGGTGCTGCTGCTGGTCAGTGTGATGGTGCAGGTGCTGGCGGTGCTTTGGGGAAGAGTGAAAAGAGTTTAACAGCAGCGCAAAGTTGGCTACATTAAAAATAGTTCAACTAAAAAAAACACGTTCGCAACAGTTGAGCTGTCGCCCGATGCATTGATTGCTCAACATTCTGGATATCATCTTCCGTTTGTTGTACACTCGATTGGTTGGCTAAATCCAGTTCAGCGGCCCGAGGCGCCTCTAGAAGCGCTTCAGGAGCAGCGGCTTGCTGCGATCAGCAAATGCCTGATTGATCCATTTGATGTCCGGCTTGGCGAAGCGCACCGATTGATTCTCGCCGCAATTGTTCTCACCGCTGTAGACGCCCTTGAGCTTGACATTGGAGCCGCTGCCGCAGGCCAGCGCGCTGCCAGCATCAAATTCGCAGGCATCGAACTTGGTGGCGCTGCAGACGCTGGTGCCGTCCGCACCGCAATCGCTGCGCGCCTGCGTTGAGGTCTGGGTCACGTGCATAATGGCGCCCTCCTCATGAACTGTGATGTGAGAGTTGCAAGGAATTAATCAAAGTTGGCCATAGACTGGGCGGCTTTCTTCTTCTGGGCTTACTTGACAGCGCCTGCTTGCCCCAGCCGGTGGTCACGCACTGCTCGGACGCGCCGGGATCCTCGTCACTGATGCAGATGGGCTGAATGTGGGTGGCGAACTCGAAACGCTTGTCCAGGCGTACGATGGCCATGTCATTGGCCTTGGTCGAGGGATCGTATGCGGGATGCACGTCAATGGTCTTGGCACCCACCAGCTGGAAGGGCAGGGGCTCGTTGGTGCTGCCCAGCTCCCATTCGCCGGCCTTGATGCGCACATCATTGACGGGCACGCTGCAGCGGCAGGGCGTATATTGTAATCTTCTAGAGACTAGAGACTAGATAAAAAAAGGAAACTTACCCGTCCACACAGCTGGCCGTGGTTAGCACGAACTCGTCTCCAATGATGGCGCCGCCGCAGAGCAGGGTCTTGCTCGACTCGCGCAGAATCATCGCTTGCCATGGGATCTCGGCAAAGTTGGCATCAATATCCTTAACGCCCGTGGGCTTGGTGCTGCAAATATGAAATCGGACAAAGTCAAGCAACTGTTCCAGGTTAGTTTTCAAAGCGAATTCCCAGCTTACCGCTTGTTGCGGGTGGCGCAAACGCCGGCGAGATTGACGGGCCAGGGATCGACATAGTTGGGATCGCGACAACACTTGCCGGGCGCACCACTGTCGGGCAGCAGGCAGTCGGTGAGCGGCACACGGAAGGCGGCCTCCATGGGGCTCAGTTGCAGGGGCGTATCGCTCAGCACGCCAATGGCATTGCAATAGTTCTCCGGGCTGCAGACAAGCGCTGAGGCGCACTTGGCATAGTGCTTGGGCAAATCGGCGGCACCGGGCGTGGGGAAGATCTGGGGCGAGAGCTGATCCTCGCCGCGGTACACGGGCTTCTCATTGGACGGCTGTGGCACACGGTCCGGTTCATAACGTGGCGGCTGTGTGGGACGCGGTTCGCGGTGTGGAATCTCGTTGACGGACACGGGCGGCAGGTACTCGTTAGTGGGGCGACGCGTCGGCGCCTGTGTGGGCTGTGGACGGTACGCAGGCTGGGTGGGTGCGGGCTGCTCGGGCTGTGGACGGTACGGCTGCTGCGTGGGCTGCGGGCGATAGGGCTGCTGCGTGGGCTGCGGACGGTACGGCTGCTGCGTGGGCTGTGGGCGGTACGGCTGCTGCGTGGGCTGTGGGCGTGTCGGCTGCGGAGCGCGTGTCTGCGTCGGCTGCGGCTGATAGATGGGCCGGCGAGTGGTTTGCGGTGGCAGATAATCAACCACGGGACGACGTGTGGTTGTGGGCGGCAGATACTCATTGGTGGGACGAGGCGCGGGCGCAGTTGTGGGCTGTGGCCGATAGGCGGGCTGTGTGGTGCGCACGGCGGGCACGGTGGGATTGGTGGGCAGCGGGAATGTCTTCTCGGGCAGGTTGAAAATGTAGCCATCCTCGGTCAGCGTAGTCGATGGCATGCGACAGCAAATGTCCGGCTCATAGCAACGGTTTGCCTGAAAGAAACCAAAAAGGCGAGAGACAGATATTATAAATTTGCCAAGCGAGAGAGGGAGGGCTCACACAAATTAGCAACGGGCGGAGAGTCAGAGTCGTGTCTGGGTCGTGCTTTGGAGTCCATGAGGCAGCGCATTAAATTACCAGCAACAAGCGACTGGCAACTGCTGCCAACCACTCGACTGTTGAGCACGGCAACCCGCTCATTAAAGTGGCCAATGCTGCCTGTCAATTGTTTTGCTTGTTTTTTTTTTTTTGCTTTCTGTGTGCTGCAGCCTCTGCTTTTGGTTTTGCATCTGGTGTTAATGTTAACCCAGAAATTTGCAGTTTCATGGTGCAATCTATGCGGCAAGAAAACGTTTCAAAACGTTTCAATTGCTGCGGCAGTTGCTGTGTCAAGTTTGTCGCCTAAGTCTTTTGCTCGCTGGCAACACCTACACACACACACACACACACACACACACACTGTCTATTAATTTGTTTATTTATATGCTAAAATCTCCAACAATTATTGCAAACGGAAAACATTTGAGAAACTTTGTGGGTGCGTGACAAAACAAAAAAAAAAAATGATCAAATAAATAAAAGACAAACAAAAACAAATTGATGACTAAATTGTGTAAAAATCATCGAAGGAATAAAAAACACGTCTAGACACATCTTAATAAAGTTAATATTAATATTAATATTAATATAAATGTGCACATTAACGGCTTCATTCAGCGGCAATTAGTCGGTTCTACAATCAAAGTGCCGCTACACAAAAATTACACAAATTATGGAAACTAACAAAAGTTTAGACATAAGTAAAGAATACACGTTAAT